AGCAGCAATATCGTTATCAGCAGCAGCAGCAGCGATATCATCATCAGCAGCAGCAGCGATATCATCAGCAGCAGCAGTGTAGTCTTTTTGATTATCATCAGCAGTCGCAGCAACAGTGTCATTATTATTGTATTATTATCGTCAGCAGTAGCGTCTTGCTTAAAGGCTTGTGGGGAGCTGTGAGCGAAGTGGTCAGCGCACTGCGCTACGAACGCGGCGACCTGAGTTCGATTCCCGCTCACAGCCACCGATACCAGTGACGACTATCTGAACCGGTCCTGAGCCTCCCCCGAAGTTGACCTCGCCTTAAACGTGTCGTGTGCCTGGTGAGATAAAGGCGGGTGTGAGGTCCAGCCACACACACCATCACCTCGTGTGCCGTGCCGACCTAAATAGGTGCTCGCAAACAGCCGCAAAATTCTATAAGGTGAATACAATATATCTTTGTCATTTTTGTTGGTTATCAGAACAAATCAATGAATAATCTATATATCTATACCAGCGCCAAACCCTCCAGTAAATCACGTGACTTCTGGGCGTGGCCACCACTCTCCCGAGTCCTTCCCCTCTCCCCGCCCACTGTGAAAACAGACGCTGCTTCTCCTGCGTTCAGGACGCCGCCACGGTGGCTAGGAGATGTTAACTACCTCGCCTGGTATACAGGAGGTCGTGGGTTCGATCCCGACCCTGACGCCTGCTGTATATTTTGAATTTGCTGTGTCTCTCTCCCCGTGGTCGCGTGGATTTTTCTCCGGATCCTTCAGTCCCCCATCCCCCCCCCCCACATTTAGAATCAACGTCACGCGTTTAGAGTATTTGGCTACTGTGAATGTCCACACGATGATAAGCCATTTCTTTGAGCTATCATTTGTGGCCAGGTCGCTTCTGAAAAGAGCTGTATAGCTCAGTGGGCCTTACCTGGTAAAAAAAGTGAAACATTCTACTTTTAGCTTAGTTTATTTCACTTCTTCTGATCGCTCATTCCTTCTATAGTTTCCAATCTCTCCCCTCCTCCCCTCTCATCATCACCACCACCACCACCCTCTTCATCATCCCCGACATCTTCGCCCCGCCATTCCCCCTTCCCCTCTCTCGCCTTCCTTCCCTCTCACTTTCGTTTTCTCTTTCTCCCTCCATTACATCCTTGACTTAACTCCCCTTCCCTTTGTGTGTATGTAGCCAATGAAAAGAATGTTTACAGTTGTTTAAAAAAATCATCCTATTTTTTTTTATTCATAATAGTAACGATGCATCGATAAAAAAAATCGATTATGCCCAATATAGATTCGTCGATTCTATTTTTAATCGGATTCGTTGCACGTCACGAGTTCCCGCAGAAACCGGAGGAGGCATTGACAATGCACTGCAATCAAATAAAATCGAATCGCGGCACTAAATCATCGCAATGAATCGATTCGCTAGGACGAGGTCATCGTTAGGAGCCTGATCAGTCAATACGTGCGCACACCGGTAGCAGCAACTGAGTGTCACGTGGTTTACGGCAACGCTTGCGGGGTCACGTGGTCTGTCAGACCACTGCCCCTGCTACCTGAATCTATTGGTATTTACGCTCAGCCGAACAACCGGTTGACCCTATCACTCCGTGCACTCACTTCGTACCGTACCATCCACCTTCACTCTTACCCCCCCCCCCCTTCGACCAGCCTCATCCACTATCACGCTCCATACATTCCTCCTTCAACCCCCCTAACCCCCCATTGCTAACAGCCGTCAACTAACCCACACCCATTTTTCGCTTTTATTTTTCCATTTTGTGCCGCAGTCGGTAAGCATTGTCAAGGCGCATTGGCGCCTTTATTTCGTCGGGAGGAGGAGGAATCCGATGAGCTATGAAGCTCGTTTGTTTCACAGATGTCCAGTAGGATCACGGGTTCAGAAAGTCACAACAACAAAAACAACATGGAACCTTTTAGCCAGTATCAAAGTATGAAAAAATAACAATAGGGTTACACCCTTGCTGGCAATAATAAAACAGGAGGTGTTAAGATGTTCAAACACCAAATAGAAACCTTTTGCAAGGAATTAAGTTCGCAGTTACCACAAGGTACTTGTGGTAAACGTGCAAACAAACATGCTCTGATCATTTGTATGCATTGCCGTTGAAGCTGATTGGCCTACGCCAGAGACAGGAGCCTTCTTTGGGGCCATGTCTCAGTAGCGTCAGAGCAGAGAACGCCAAAAGGCGACCAGCACAAAGACAATGCCACGATCAGAACATTTATAGCTCGGGGTGAGCAGCTACGAAATGGGACCTTTTGATACTGGAGTGGAGCGGTGGCGCAGTGGTCGGCGCGCTGAGCTGTGAGCCGACCGACCGACCGACCCACCTGAGTTCGATTCCCGGCCACGGCTGTAACGTCAGCGGCGAGTGATGTCTAAATCTGTCCTGGCGGTCTTTGTTCTCATGTCCACTCGGTCGACTCAGCCTTCATTTAACAAGGAGCGTCTGGCGCGGTGCGTCAACGTCACCGCCGGAGAGACAAAGGCGGCTGGACGCGTTTCAGACCACACCACTGCCTCGTGTGCAACGTTGGCCTTAATAGATGCTCGCTAACAACACTGACCACCCCCCACCCCATGGTCTAAAAACGTAAAATATAATATTGTACCTTTGTCTTGTTACGCCTAGTAACGAATGTACTCTCAGCGGTGAACACAACGAAGTAATGTAGGGAATTAGTGTTTAAAAATCTTGTCGAAATCCAAATTTGAAACCTAATTTTCGCACGGCACGTATGCACGACAGCATATAGGCAAACACATAGACAGTCTATAGAGACAGTCTCTATAGAGACAGTCTATATAGAGACAGTCTATGGCGCATAACCTAAGGTCACTGTACCGTCAACTGACAGTGAGGGCGACTTTGGAATTCCTGCAACCCACGCATCCCAACAATCGAACGCGGAGGTTGAAAGACCACAAAATGTTGCGAACCCATGCACATTCACATCGCGAGAAAATGCATTTCTCGTCATCTGTAATGATACTTAACGTGCGTTGCTTCATGCCGCACCACGCATAGCCAATTCTCTATCAGATACAGATGTTCCGTACTCTGGAATTCCTGTATTCACATTGCCAAAATATCATCATCATCATCATCATCCCTCAATTACGTGAAGCATGGACTGGGGGTCAGCCTAATGGTGTGCCAAACTACCCAGGAGGTCTCCTCCTCCATGTATCCGAGCTCACAAAAAGACAAAGATGCCCCGTATAGCCTTAACAGACTGTACGGGCAAGTGCTGTTAGCAAGCACGTATGAAGACCGGAACGGTACACGAGGGGGTGGGTGGCCAGCACCACGCCCGACCGTCTTTGTCTCCCCAGTGGCGATGTTTTACACACCGCACCAGGTACTCATTTGAGGCTGAACTAGTAACGAATTGGCCTCTTTGGTTCACGTGACAAAACCCTTACGAATTGGCTGTGTCGGGTGGTGGTGGCGATTTTAACGACACATTTATATTTACGCGATCTAACAAACAAAAAAAACCTCTGTTGTGGAGTGGCACCATTGTTGAGCTTTAATGAAATTGCGCGTCAGGTTTATGCGATGGCGATTTTTTTTAATGTTTTACGGGCGTTTTATGTTGTTACTTGTTATGCGGTTAAACGGCAATTTAGTTTTTATAACATGCAATGTGTGCTCAGATGATGATCATAATATTGCGCTATGTAAATGCGTAGGTGCGTGTTTGTAATTATACATTTGTTTTTATTTGTATCACATCTAACGCAGGCACCTTCATTACGGAAATGCGAAAACATCGACAAAGGCAACACACACGTGCACATCCATTACACATACACCAACACACACGACGCACGCTACATGGACACAAAGATCCCCCGTATGGCCTCAACAGACTGTTGGGACAAGCGCTGTTCGCGAGCACCTATTAACGCACCTCCGATTAGCACGGTTGGCTACGTACGGTGCGACAGAAGTTCAACGTGATACGTACAATGCCGGCACACTGCACGATGCAGTCATCATTAAGCCATGCCGCCTGTGTCTCCCCAGTGCTGGTGATTGATTGCGCACAGCAACGCGCTACTAATTTAGGGCTGGGTTGACCTAGCCGACGGCCAAAACCGGTTCGGATATCGCTCGCCACTGATGTTGGCCGTGGTGGTCAGGAATCGGTCCATGACGTCGCCATGTTGGTGGTGGAACAGCGCGCTAACCACTGCGCCACCGCTCCCACGTACTCACGCAGGCACGCGCATCGACACACACACACCTACACACATAGCGACACACCACCCACGCCCAATTCATCCCCCTCCTACTGTCCCCTATAACATTTTGGGGGCACTCGAGGGGGTGGGTGGCCAGCACCACCCCCGGCCGCCTTTGTCTCCCTTGTGCTGATGTTTTTACACACCGCACCAAGTACTCATTTCAGGCTGAGTTGACCTAGGGAATCCAATCTCCGTTTTCCGCGTTCGTAGCGCAGTGCGCTAACGACGGCACGACCGCTCCCCACCTACACGCACAGACATACTTATACACACGTACACACGCACACCCCTACACACACGCGGATACCGATACGCACACCTACACACACGCACACCTACACACATGCACACCTACACACACGCACACCTAGACACGCGCGCGCACCTACACACACACGCACATCTACACACACGCACACCTAGACACGCGCGCGCACCTACACACACACGCACATCTACACACACGCACACCTAGACACGCGCGCGCACCTACACACACACGCACATCTACACACACGCACACCTACACACACGCACGCACACGCACACCTACACACACGCACACCTACACACACGCACACCTACACACACGCACGCACACGCACACCTACACACACGCACACCTATACACACAGGCACACCTACACACACGCACGCGCGCACCTGTTTGCGCAAGCGCGGATAAGACGCGCCGAATGCACGGAACGCGTCTAATCATCCGCGCTCACCTGGGCGATTTCTCACGAGATGGAGGAAGTCGAGGGCGCAGCAGCTCCTCCGGCGTGGAGAGTGCGAGAGAGAGAGAGTGAGAGAGAGAGTGAGGCAGGTGACAGAGGCGGGGTCGGTCCGTGTGCTGAGCGCTCGAGGACTCAAGGTCGTTGCGTCAGCCCCCGCCCTGCCCGGCGCGTTTTATGCGAGACGGGCACCACGAGGCCATTGGTCGCGAGAGGGAACGGACCCCCCCCCCATCCTCTCCACCCCCCCCCCCCATAATACCCCCCACCCAACCGCAAGGTGCCCCCCCTCCCCACCACCCATCCCATCCACCACTCACCCAGCCATCCCCCCCCCCCCATCTCATCCACCCCCTTCCCTCTCACCCCCTACCTCCCTTAACCGCCGCCGCCTTGACCACCACCACCAACATCGTACAAAAAAAGACAAAGATCCCCCGTGTAGCCTTAACGGACTGTTGGGGCAAGTGCTGTTAGCGAGCAGCTCCTATGAAGGCCGGCACGGCACACGAGGGGGTGGGTGGCCAGCACCACGCCCGGCCGTTTTTGTCTCCCCAGTGGCGATGTTTTTACACACCGCACCAGGTACTAATTTGAGGCTGAGTCGACCTAGGGGAGGGTCTGGACCGGTTCAGACAATCGTCACTGGTGCTGGTGTTGGCCGTGAGCGGGAATCGAAGTCGGGTGGCCGGGTTCGTAGCGCAGCGCGCGAACCACTGCGCCACCGCTCCCCCCATCGTCATCACCACCACCACCCCCTCCCTCCTCCCTATGCGTCTATAGCGATGTCCAGTTTTCACCGCCTGAGAATTACTGTATCTCCCTCTCTCTCTCTTTCTCTCCCTCACTTTCACAGCTCTCCTCTCATCTCTCTCGCGCGATGGCTCCTTCGCTCTCTCTCCTCCGTCTTTGTCTTCCTCCACGCGCCTCCCACACTCGACGATTCTCTCCCATCTATTCCGTGTCTCTACCAGCTCTCATCTCACTCTCATCATCATCACCATCCATCAATGCATTTCTCTCTCTCCGCCATTCTCTCTCATCGTCATCGTCTATCCATCATTTTTGTCTCTCTCTTCCGTCGATATCCTCTCGTGCGTCTCTCCCGACTCCCTGCATCATCCGTCTCTCTCCCGTTTCCCTCGGGAAGCGGTAGTTAAAGAGTAGTGGTACGTGCCGGTATAAAACACCGCTAGGGAGAAAAATCCGGACTGTATCGCATCTTGTACCGACAAAATAGGAACACTTGCAATGGGATGGAGAAATGTAATTTAACACAAATTTTTGTAAGTTAAAATATAATTCTGCTACAAATCATCGGCCCATGCGCATCGCTGTATAATTTCACACCGGAGCACACATACTCAGCCTCGTGCAACGTCCAAGAGATGATACAGTCTGCATATATACTGCGTGTGTTCAAATGTGTTTCGTAAGCTATTCATTTATGGACGTGGGCCCGTATGTATGCGGGCGATGGTCAAGATGAATAACGGAGTGTGTGCAGCCAAGGAATGGAACGCGTTTGTAGAGCTCCACCACCGGGAGATGGAGCAATGGAATCAGGTCGTAGATCGGTGGCATCGCAATGATGGTGAGATGTTAACTCCCTCGCCTGGTATGCAGGAGGTCGTGGGTTCGATCCCGACCCAGACGCCTGCTGCTGTATATTTGGGGTTTGCGGTGTCTCTCTCTCTCTCCCCGCGGTCGCGTGGAATTTTTCTCCGGGTCCTCCGGTTTTTCCCTCCACATTAAGAATCAACGTCACGCGTTCAAGAGGATTTTTGGCTGCTGTACATTTCCACGCCTTTGATAACAAGCCACCACTTCGTTGAGCCATCATTCGCGATTGCCAGGTCTCTTCTGAAAAAGAGCCGCGTAGTTCAATGGGCCTTTACCCGGTAAAATAATATGATAAATGAAACGTGAGCCGTGACGGCGGCTCGGGATGGATTGACCATGGGCCAGAGCCGTCCCTGGGGTACACGGTGAATCTGGGGCGACCGCCCCGGGCCCCGAGCTTTGGGGGGTGGGGGGGGGGCGCTTCGACGTCACGGTGTCGGATGTAGTATTTCGTGTTTGGGTTGAAGGCGTCAGGTGAGTCCACACATTGGGATTTGTACCGCCCTCGGCACCGCGCTAATGGATGGCCCTGGCGATGGCTGTAGATGATGCTGCTGATGATGATGATGATTGCAATATGTAAATCAATGTAGTTTAAGTAATATTAATATTGTTATTTTCCCGACCAAAGCAGGTGACTGGAGGTTGACCTATGTTCACATCACGACGGGTGACCTTTAAAAAAATGTCTCAAAGATCGCCTCGCCCGCAGAGGTCAAACTTGCGTGACCCCTGCCATGCATCACCCTAACTCAATCAAAGCAACTCTCGGCCCACGTAGTAGGGAATCATACACACGTGTGTGTATGCGTGTGTACATAAACGTGTGTACACACACATGTGTAGCGGTTACCTCGCTGCTCTACCAACACGACTACCCGAGTTCGATTCCCTCTCACGGCCACCAACACCGATGACGATTATTTGAACGGGTCCTGGGCCTCCCCTAGGTCGACTCAGCCAAAAATGAGTATCTAGTGCAGGTGTGTAAAATATCGCCACTTGGGAGACAAAGGCGGCCGGGCGTGGTGAAGGCCACCCTCCCCCTCGTGTGCCGACCTCCGTAGTAGATGCTCGCTAGCAGCACTTGCCTGAACAGTTTGGTAAGGCTATACAGAGGATCTTTATCTTTGGAGCGGTGGTGCAGTGGTTAGAGCGCTGTGCTCCGACCCCATCTGATTGTAAATTCATCATCATTAGCCAGGGTCAATCCACTGCTGGATCGAGGCCTACCCAAGTTGCTCTCGCCAGCCTCTCGCGAGGCAACACATCCACCCAGCACCCTGCACCCTGCACGTGAACTGATTTTATCGCTCCATCTCCTCGGGGTGGGGGCGGAGGGGGGAACGCGTTCCATTCCTTGGCCGCCGCTCCGTTATTATTCTTGAAGATCCCCCAAATAAACTTGGTTCATGACTATAAATGACCGTGTCCCTCTTTGCTGTTTTTGTTATTCTGGATTCCTCCCGGCAATGTCGTGTAACTGCCGCCATTGAGCTGTAGTCGATGAGTCTCTATGCAACTCTATGGATCTCTGTATAACTCTATGGATCTATTTGTGACTCTATGGATCTCTGTATAGCCATATGGATCTCTGTATAACTCTATGGATCTATTTGTGACTCTATGTATCTCTGTATAACTCTATTGATCTCTGTGTCACTCCATGGATCTCTGTATAACTCTATGGATCTATTTGTGACTCTATGGATCTGTGTATAACTCTTTTGATATCTGTATAACTCTATGTATCTCTTATAACTCTATGGATCTCTGTATAACTCTATGGATCTCTGTGTCACTCCATGGATCTCTGTATAACTCTATGGATCTCTATGTGACTCAATGGATCTCTGTATAACTCTATGGATCTCTAGGTGACTCTATGGATCTCTGTGTCACTCCATGGATGTCTATGTGACTCTATGGATATGTGTCACTCCATGGATCTCTGTGTCACTCCATGCATCTCAGTTTCACTCATTGGATCTCTATGCAACTCTATGGATATCTATGTAACGCTGTGGATTTCTATGCAACTATGTGCATCTCTATGGATCTCTATCTATAACTGCCCCGTAACTGCCACGGTCTTGCACTGTGGTCGTCTGTGGAATCGAGCTGCTTAGCTCAATGGGAACGTCACCCGGCGGAGACAATTGCGAGTCCCGAGTCTGGCTCCTCCAATTGGTGAAGTATGGACACTCAACACCCACAACCGCGCTCGGCGTGGCCAGGCCCTTCGACCAGCCCTGCGAATGACGAATCGCATTCTGCACGAGTATAATTCACCGCCCCCGTGCAATTGCATCAGCACATTGATTGTAATTTAGATTTTTGGGGAAAATATTTTTTTTATCTTCTTGGTTCTTTCGGTAAAGTCACGTAGAATGGAAACAATAAAAATAATAAAATAAAACATAATAAATTTATTCTTTTTTTATTATAATAAAAGAAATCTGTTTTTTATTATGTTTTATTTTATTATTTTTTATTGTTTCCATTCTACGTGACTTTACCGAAAGAACCAAGAAGATGAATCCCTGCAGTCACGAAAGCTTTAAATCGATATTTTTTTAAATGTTAGATTGATTTTGCTGATCACTCGCTATTGCCAATGGTAGTAAACCAAACTCTGTGAGCCATTTGTTGAAACCCATTAAGACGTGAACAATTTCATTACGATAGCGTTTCCACATCGACCATGATCCATTGACTGTTTGATATAATTAAATAACGATTGACCAATTATGACCAGGAATATTTGTAACCTTGACCTGAACCTTGACCCTAACCCTAACATTGATTACACAAACGACGTCTCTCCTGTGCATATTTACAACACTAACTCGCAGTGCTTCGTCTATCCACCGCTGGATGAAGGCCTCTCTCCACACCCTTGTCGGTCGTGAAGAGGATGTTTGACCATACTTCACCACGCCGGTCAGTGCGAGATGATGAAGGAGGGCGGGGTGGGGCGGAGCGGGGGGGTATTGCCAAGGACTGGTTCAGATACCACTCGCCACTGATGTTAGCCGTGGTCTGGAATCGAACTCAGCGGGCCGAGATTCACGCTGCACAGAGATAAAAAAGAGAGTGTAATAACGCTGCTGCCGATGATTGATAATAATCGATGACGATGATGATGATAATCGATTACACCATCTGACGCCTGCATGTTGGAGTTTCTGGCGTCTCTCTCCACGTGGTCGCGGTTTTTCCCTCCACGTTGAGAAATCGACATCCGCGCGTTCAGAAAATTAGCTGCTGCTATAAATGTCACGTGATGATGATGATGATAGGCCACTTTGCTGGGCTATCATTTGTGGCCACGTCGCATCTGATCAAATAGCTCAGCGAACCTTACCTGCTAAAAAATACAACCCAACAAAGTTTAAGAGTTCATACTTTTTGGTTATTTCGGTAAAGTCACGTAGGTAGAAAAAATAATAGATAACGACGTTTCGATCGCAATGCAATCAATCGTCCGCCTGATGATGATTGCTTGCGTTGCGATCGAAACGTCGAGATCTATTGTTTTTTCTAC